TGCAGTTTGTTTGGCGCTGTTGGCCCACCATGGAGTGGAACACAGTCGAATTTTGACAATTAACAAAAAACTAAATCATTTGTGCTTTTTGTTGTTTCAAATGTATACTGGTGCATGCAGTAAAAAAAGAATGAAATTATATGAGCAAATTTTTCTGGAAAAAAACTTCCTGGAATCTTTAAGTAGTCGAATTTATGTTTAAATTTGAATCGCCTGACGCCGCACTCCATCTCGTAACCACTCGGTGTAATGGATTTATTTAAATTCCTTTAACAGAATTTAGATCTGTAAAAACACTGAAACTATGCCAAAAAAATTCGTTTTTTTGCGATTTTGTTCAGATCACTTCATCATTTCACGTATATTTAATTTGCATGCATCACCATACATTCGAAATAACAAAAGTGCAAATATAGCAAACAGTGCATTGATTTTTTGCAAAATTTAGAAAAAATCACAAATTCAATTGACAGTTTTGTAGCGGTTTTTTGATGGTGGAAAATAATAAGTGTCGTTAAAATAAGCTAATTTAAGGCACGAAAACTACAAATTCCAGTATCAGATGGAGAAGAAAGTGTTTTCATCCCAAGTGAACAAGTCAAAACTTTAATTGGCCCCGTTGGGAGCGAAAAATCAGCGTAAGTATACACTTTTTTTTTGGGTTTTCTCGCTCGTACTTTGACTTAATTGCTCTCATTCAGTTCATCTTAATTATTTCTTATTTGTTTGATAGAAATAGAAAGGGTAGAAGAGGCCATGGAGGCTCAACCTAGAAGTTATCATTCCAAATAGGAATGTCAGCATTGTGGTAGACGAGGGTTTAACTCTCCTCATACTTTGATGCCATAATTCCCAATCAGTATAATCTAATAGCGCCGGGCTTATTCTTTTAACTCAGTAGTTCTGTATAAACTAATTTAGCAGTTTTCAATTAATTCGATTTAATTTAGTTGATTTAGCTATGCAACTCAATTTAGCTTGAGTTCCTAGTAGTTTTCTGTAGTATAACTTCTATAAAATACCTGCAAGAGTTGTTAGTTTATTTTGTGAATCTCCATCTGTATTGTAACGTTCGGGCGGAGGAGGAGCTAAAGCTGGAGTGCCTGCCTACCTGCGCAGAAGCGCTCCGGCAGCTGAGCAACACCAAGTAACATTTCTTTATTAGTGCAATATTAAACAAATCAAGAAGAGTAAACGAACTCCAGAAATCGCCTGGCAGCAGCTCCAAGCTGCCACCGGACACACAAAATAGCTTCAAGCGGCAGTAGCTCCAAGCTGCTACAGCGCACTTCCAATTTCAGCGAAACCAAACAATGACACAATAATAATTTGATTTTCGATGATCACATTAAATATCACGGAGGGGGAACTCGAGCCAGGAGACGGGACACTTGCATATTGCAGGAAACCGAAGGTCAACTGGACAAGGCGAAGGGGATTGAGCCTCCAATTTCGCTTCCTTTTTATTCGCTCCTTTTTTTTTGCCTCCGTTACTCGCTCTGTCTGTATGGCTTATAATTTTTGCTGTTCATTTAAACAATACTACGTCATTTAGTGGTCAAAATGTTGACTGGTCCTAATGTTGTTTCGGATAATAAGATAGATTTCTGTTAGAAGAATTTGCTAAGGTATCTACCAACAAAGATGTCCTTGTTCTGTGTTGAGCAAAACCACTTCGTGTCCAATCATTTCAACTCCTAAACATGGTGAGGTGTCTTGTAGAAAAGGAAGTTATTTAATGATTTTTCAATTAATATTTTTTTTTGAACCATTTTATTAATTTGGTGATTTTTATAGTTTTTCCATAAGCCACTTTAATAGTTCTTTAATTGAAGTTTTTTTTAAATTTCAGGAAAATAACATTTTTAGGTTTTTAGGAATCTTCATTAGTAGATTTTTTTTGATTAAAGTTAATCAATTTGAATGTAATTTTTCAGGCTATTAAAGGCGTTTATAAAAGCTCTTTATACTATCTATCAGGAAAATCATTTCACATATTTGGAGATAAATCCTCTTGGTAAGTTCACTGAATTTGTTCCTACAGTACTAACTCAACAGATTCTGGTCTCCATGTTCTTCCATATTGTGTTTTTTATTATATAAATAAAAAGCGCCAAGAATTTTTTTGAGATTTTAGTATCACTGTTTGTGCTTGTTTCAGTACTGGTGCACGGAAAAATCTACATCCTTGATTTGGCTGCAAAACTCGATGAAACGGCACTTTTTCTGTGCTCAGAAAGTTGGAAAACGAGAAGTGGAGAAGCGGTTGATTTCCCAGCTCCTTTTGGACGAGATAAAACAGTAGAGGTGGGGAATGTTTTGTATCACTAACTATACATATTGTCTGGACTCTATGTAGGGCTCGTCCACTGAAAGACGGAACGCTAGTAGTTACAGCGAAAAAATAACGACGAGCACCAGACTAGCCGGTGCGATAATCCGTTTTGTGCAGTTCAGCCCATCGAACGATTGCTTGCTTTGTGCTTTTGTCTATGCAAAAATAGTTGAACA